AAAAGTTTATTTGTAAGAAATTTTCTATGCCGTAGTTTTTTTTTTCTTTTTTTTGAGATTCATACCATCCATTCTCAAGTTTGTTTTATACTTTATTTTATTTTTTATTTTTTTAGGTATGTTGTCTGGTATATGTTTAAGTAATGCCTCCAACGTATTTATGTGAATTTTAGAGTTGAGAAGTTTTTGACGAATATTCGAGTTTATGCTTGAAATTGAAAGTTTCCGAATATATGGCCTTGTTAGATGACACGTAGTAAAGTAATGATCCATACTAGTACATGTTTGTCCACAGGGACAAATAGCGTGGTTGTGTATATTAAATCTAAAAATAAAAAGGAAATCTGCCGTGTGCAATAATAATTTGGGTGGTGCTTCTAGAAGGAGGAAAGCTAATGGGTATTTGATTTGTTGATGGTATCCACCAAAATAATTCTGTTTTGCCATTGTTTTTGCCAAGAGTGATCCCATCTCCTACATGCTAATCCCATTATTGTATGTTTTATAATTTTGTGTTGATTTTGGCTGAGAAAAACAGGCCTGTGGAATAAAGTTTAAGAAACCGCCGAAAGACAAAACCTTTGCCGTTCAATAAGTGCGGTTCAATCATCCGCATATTTTCGATTCTTTCCTCTTTAGAGTCATATAACATGATGGAAATGCCTCGCGCTTATGTGTAACATGTATATATATATATATATATACAGAAATGGCGTCGTCTGCCGGGAGGGGAAAGAGGAAAAGCTGGGGCTCCGCGCGGAGAGGAGGTTCGCGTCACTTTTCCGCGTACAGGAGGAGCGATCAGGATGGCGGGCCAGTGCGGAAAGGCAAGAAATAGAAAGAACACTGTGCGGGGCGGAAAATGGACGAGGAAGACCTTCAGAGCGCGGCAGAGGCTACGAACCGAAGGCCCTAATCGAGAAACGCTCATCACGGCTCTCAGCATCTCTCTCTTTTTGTTTGGCTGCGCTCCTCGCGGTTAATATCATGAAACCCAGAAAGTGGGACGTGACAATGTGCTTTTGACTCGTGTGTACGCACTTGCGTGTCTTTTAGCCTCGGGCTGCGCTCTGGTTTTCGATTACACCGAGTAAAGAAATGCCGCCTACTAGCCTCGAAAGACCACGATGGCGAGAAACTGGGAGAAACAAAAAAAAGAAAAAAAAGAGGTGCGCGCCACAGGGCAAGGAAGGTGAATCAGGGGCCTAGACCCGAGGTCGTATCGCTAATGCATCATAGAGAATCCCACCCGCAGACACGGGCGTCGATGTATGGGCAAACATGCTTGGAAGAGGATTGAAACATGTCCGCCGATAGTTACGTCGTCGTGTTTAACATCGAGCAGGATGTATGGGCGGCTTAGGATCCCCGCGCCATCCGACGCTGAAACTCGACGAGAGAAGGTCGCGATGCGGCAGACGGGTGCATACTGCCGTCGCATGGTGCCGATACCATTGTTTTCCATACCATACAACATAAAACGGCACAACGATAAAAAAAAAATGTATCGCTGTGCCATTCTATGTTGTTGCTAAATGGAAGAAGTCCTGTTCCCGTCCTCGTCCTCGCTGTTTTCTACTTTCAAGGTTTCGTAGTCATACTTAGTTCGGAATACTCGTGCGCAGGCGACTGTCGGCGGCAAGTCATACTTAGTCTATAGACTGAGTCCGCCGGTAAACGTTGGCGGTGGTTTATGCTCAGCCCAGGATACCGTATTTTCCGGACTATATTCCGCACCCGGTGCATAGTCGGCACTTGGTGCTTTTGTCATCACGAAAATCTCCTCATACATAGCACACCTTGACAAATGTCTGCTTTCTTGGCTCACAAACAAGTTTGTATTATACACAAATCACCATTCACATACTATTTCATTCCCAAAATCCGTCACGTCTGGTCATAATGAACGATCTTGAAAAACAAAATTCCTGTACAGTCCGCACGCGTAGATAGTCCGCACAGCCTAAAATCCAAACTTTTAAACCAGTCTAGTCCGCAGACTATAGTCTGGAAAATACGGTACTCCTTCCGCGGGTGGCCGTTGGAGGCAAGTTAACTTAGACCAGCAAATTTCGTCCACAGAAGACCGTCGGCGGCGAGTTATACTTAGTCCAGCGTATATAGTTCAACGGCGATCGTCGGCGGTCAGTCATGCATAGTCCAACGCACATAGTATGCAGGCGACCATTAGTGGCGATTCATACTTAATCCTATGTAATCCACGGATGGCCGTCGGATGCGACTTACACTTATTCCGCAGACGATCGTTTGTGGCGGTTCATACTTAGTACATCACCCTTATTCGGCAGGCGACCGTCGCCCGCGTTATACTTAGTCCAGTAAACTTGGTCCGCAGGCTACCGTCGGTGGCGAGTCTTGTAGTTTGTCCAGCATACTGACGTCGTGACAGTAGGCGGCAAGCCACACTTAGTTTCACATAATTATACTTGACTCATGTCGCAGCCGACGGTACGATCCGATCTATCAAGCAGTGCAAAAAGCGTATAATCCGGCGCTCGTTTTCTTTCCGGGTTTGCTTTCGCAGGCAAAACCATTAGTCAAGAAAAAAAAAACGTAGGATGACGGCGCCTTTATTGGCCATAACTGGTTCAAAGACGCGCCGCGACCGTGGATACTGGACGCGCAGCTGGTTCCCGACGGGGCTTCCCACGTGGAATCACAATAATAATAATAATAATAATAATAATAATAATAATGTCTTTATTTTTTCATCACATGATGACGGGGAGGCCGGGGAAGAAAGCTGTGAAAACAGCTTGACGGGTCCCCGACATGACCGGGTCAGTCATAAAAACGTACCAAGGGATTGCGCAGCGGGCGTACGACGCCGCAACTTCAGACAAAAGTTAATTGTAAAAGCGCAAGGCGCGATAAACCTCTAGTCGCGGTTGCTTCAGTTGCAACGAGAGGCCCCTCACAATCAAATGGCACTAAGAATTCGAGGCTCTACAAGCCAAATAGTCAAAACCACCGGAATACGTTTAAGTAAAACATGCTCGTAACACACTGTACTTCCGAAGAAATTTCAACTTGTCTCGAGGATTCTGATGAACCCAGAAATCACAACAGTGCATCGTGCGTGCGCCACATCCGAAACCACCCAAAGCTTTACGCAACACACTCTAGGAAATCATACCGCCCGCACAATACTTCCCCGATTTATTAGAATGATCGAGGCACACTTTGTACTCGTTCCGGTATTTAATTGAAGTCAACGTTACTAGAACAACTCAGTTCAAAAACTGCCATAGAGTCTGCTTTAAAAAGGTGGCTCGGATCCGTACTCGAGAACCGAACTAAAGGCGATCGCAACGCCCCCATTTCTCTCCCAGCGGCCACTCCGGGAACTGCGCGGCTGCACGTATTGGTTCAGGTCGAGTTGCGCAAGGGCTGGTGGCGCCATTTCACAATGCCTTTTCGCAGTAGATATATAAATCAACTTTTATGTTTTCACTAGTCGCTAAAGGGTGGCGCTGTTATCGAATTTAGTATGGTCTCGTCGGACGCCAGCGGTCCGGGTTTCAAGGGCGAGTTTCCCAACTGAGTGTTTTAGTAACGTTGCTTGAAGTTAAGTGAAGAACTGGGGAAAACTTTCATGAAACTGCTAGGGTGACCACCCGTCCTGCGACTTGCGGGACTGTCCCGCCATGAAGGTTCGTGTCCCGCACCCTACGAGAAATTCTCAAATCTTCAAAATGTCCCGCTTTTCACACTGTCGTAAAATTCTTTCTGCAACTCATGGTGCTGCCGAACAACGGGACACGGAAAAGCGCGGAGGTCACTGGTAATCGTGTGAATCGCAAGAGTACGCCATTTTCTTTCCAAGCATTGCGGGAAGCGACCATCGTTCTTGCAGAAAACCCGACGCGCATGCGCCGTAGTGCCCCTCTCCTTAGTGACCAAATATCGTGAGAGAAAATTGTTCGTTTATTGCCATTATTTTCATATCACTGTTTTAACGCGAAAGGGTTGCTGTGGATTTATCTTTTTAATGAACACAGCCATACAAGGCAAAAAGAAAAAGAACATAATGTTAAAACATTCTGTAGGACCATGTTGATAAAAGTAAGCGTTGACAGGAAACAATAACCCGAAAAAGATTCACTGTTCTTTAATTTCATTTGATGCATTGAGTGCTGCTGGAGTTGATTTTTATGCTTTCAACTTCGACACATTTAATAACATTTTTAGCATAAAAAATATATCACTGGGAGTGAAAATTATTTTAAGTTAATTGCTGCTGTACAATTTGCAGGTATATAAGCAGCACAGCATAATTAATGTGTTAACAGAGCCTCGGTTCGTGGTGTACGTGTTCATATATTTCCTCTACCCCCCACCCCTTGCCCCGCGTGTCCCGTATTTCGCTAGCAGATAGGTGGTCACCCTAGAAACTGCCCTAGAGGGCGGTTCCGCGAGAGTCCTTTTCACTTGAGGTAAGCCACATCCCGCCATGCTGATGAACAGCGTCAGCCGCTTTCGCCATTTGCATGGCACGGAGACGCTTAGTTATTGGCGTCTTTTTTTGCATCGGTGAAATGCACAGGCATGGCGACTGGTTTTGTCGACGACCGAACTCGGTAAGTTCGACCGGAGATTTGGGTCACAGGAAGCCGTGCTTGGTCCACTCTGTTTTATTTCTTTTGAGTCGCCCCGGCGGCCATAATGTCCAACATCTTCACCGCCTACCGACGTGTTAACCGACGGGTTCTCGATTACGTGCGCGCCTTAATTACAAACAAAGACCGGTGTATAAAAAATGGAGTTTTATGCTCCCGATTACTCTGGTTGTTGGTCATGACACCAAAGAACTCGAGCCAGCTGAAAAACACTGCCTGCGCGATTAGAACAAACATAAAGTTCATCAGCATAGCGTCCAGTGAGATTTCAAACCGGAAGTACGTCAGGCGAAACCGGCCCTATAGGTGGTATTGTTTGAGGTGGAGAAAGAGCAACGCCGTCCACATCGGTCTTTGCAGGACAATGCGTGGCAAGGCGTGGGCAGGAGCGCTCTGTGCTTCAACTTATCTCTGACTCTGGCGGCTCCATGCCTGGTGGTCTTCGTCTGGGAGTGCAATCCAGGTGGGTCACAAAATAGGAAGAAAATTGTATAGGCGAAATTGAGCTCTAATAGAACCTAACGCAAACAGTCAAGTGAACTGAAATGGGATATTGCCTGTACCTCCAAACCTCGATCCCCCCCCCCCCCCTTTTTTTCTTCCTCCAAACCCAGGACAATAAACGGCCACAGTTCCCCTTAGCTGAGTTATTTTTTGTTCGATTCGATAAAACGCAACTGAAACATCTACCTCAGAAACTGTTCCGCGTTCTTTTAACGGTCAGGCCCATTTCCAAGATAATGGTTTCCTATAGGTTGTCAAACGTTTTTCTCGTGAGAAACCTTTATTTTTTTCAAATCTCTTTTTTCCTTAAGACACCCCCCTCTCCCGCTGCCCTCCGTGTTATGTTAGAACAGACATTGAAGAGGCAAACATACAAGAAAAATCACTACGAAAGAGAAGTTGATCGTAACGTTTGGTCGATGATTAGTACTTGATAAGATGCAAGATGGGCCTGAAAATGACACTTCCCCGCAGAGAGTACATGCGTTTGCAGCTGTTTAATGAGTGGCGCCACAGTACCCCAACTCATGTGAGTTCACCCCTCCACACCTGCTTGTGGGTGGCATGTCCGTGTCCGGGGAAAAGGGTATCCTGGTGGTTGAGCGGAGCCCGGGGTAGGTTTGGACCCTTGGGGGCCCCTGAGTGAGCCAATACACCACTTCGGCGGCAAAGTCCAACCTTGTGTGGAAACTGATTCTGTTCCTGCAATCATACTTAGGTATTGTACCTTGGGCGGCACTGGTAGTGTACTGTTGTCAGCAGAGCCTTTTTAGATAGGGCACAGTGCCCACCCAACCCCCCCTCCCCCCCCCCCCCCCCTCAATTGAGCTCTGTTGCAGGCGGGGCACGCGGGGCTCCGAATTTTTCCTCAATTTGTTATGGGTCCCAAACTTACACTTTTGATTCGGCCCTGAAAAGTGACCGCACTGAATAATTGCCCACTCTCCTAACGCAAATAGCTTAAATGACCATTTTACGAAAATCTTCGTTGTACACTCGACGATACCACAAACATTATGTCTAAACTTTTTCTGTTAATTGTTGCTAAAGTGCTTCAAGGTATTATATTAACTAAATTTCAAGCAAGAAAGCTATTCTCAGGACACGTTGAAGAGATTGTGAGGAGCCAGGCTAAGGCCTTACTCAACCTCTAAACTATCCAAGATCTCAGGGTGGCCGTGTCCGCCCATTGCACCTTATTACACCACACACGCTGTGATGTCGGAGGATGAGCTGTTAAGCAGATCTAAGGATGAAATCGCGGAGGGTCTATGGTCACAAGGGGTTATAGCGGCAAAACGTATTACAATCTGTTGAGATGGTGAGAGACTGCCCACCAAACATGTTGTATTGACTTTAGAAAAGGACGTATTGTTCATTAAGGCAAGCTACATCAACTGCAAGGAGCGGCCTTATGTCCCAAATCCGCTTCGCCGCTCTCGATGCCAGCAGTGCAATCACAGTTCACGCAATTGCTGCGGTGGTGTGACGTGCTCCAGATGTAGTGGCAGTGACCACAACACAAATGACTGTCAAAACGTATACAAATGTGCTAATTGAAACGACAACTATCCAGCCAACCCCAGATCATGCGAACAATGCACAAAGAAGACGAAACAAAGCATTTTACAACCAAGGTTAACAAGAACCCAACCTAACAAAATGCAAAGCGTCGTCTTTCCGCTTTGTAGTAGGACTATTTTACCGTGGCGGGGTCCAGCAGGGGACCTGCGCGTTCAAGGTATCAGTGGCGACCCAGGTGTCCCTTGGAAACTCTGGGAAACCACGCCAGTGCTCTACGCCCAACTTAAAATTTTATCTTCCCAGGCATTCCCTCTCTGCTGTCAAAGCAGTCGAGGCACCTAGTTATGCAAAAGACTCGGGTGCCACAAAGGCAGAGGATGTGACTCCTTTGCCTATACCTCCCAGGTCGTTCTCTGAAGAGAAGGAGCGAGCCCCATCGCCCCTCCTTTAACCTATTGAAAAAAACTAATTTCTATGAGAATTTTTTGTGTCCAATAAACAGATATTAATCATACAAGATATATAAGAACATATAGAACAATGTAACAACTATATAAAAAATATAAGAACCTATAAAAACCATATAAAAACTTGTGAGAAGTTTCTTATAAGTTTTTTAGATGTTTCTTTTATGTTCTTATATATCTTATACATTTCTTATATAGTTCTTACATGATTCTTATAGGTTCTCATATACCCTGTATGATTCATATGTGTTTATTGGACACAAGAAATTCCTCATACAAATGGCTTTGTCACTAGGGTGAAAGGAGGAGCGACGGGACTCCCCCAGGAAGCATCACTTTTACGTCTAGCTGTTGCAGCGTCCACAGAACCAGACAATAAGGACGAAGTAGTGGTTCGACCTGGCTTGTCAACCACTCGCCATACAGCGCCAGGCCGGGGACTTTGTCCCCGAAACGCTGACCATTCAAAGTCTGTCGACAGTCTTCCACGAAGATTTCGAATACGAAAGTGACAGCAGCTAATAACGAACCTTCAGCCTCAAAGACTGACCTGAACAAAATAAAATGGCAAACTATAAAGCAAAAATAAGGCTGCTTTTTTTTATAAAGGCTTTAGAAATTGAAGCTCCCAATATTTCTACACAGCCACTAAGACGTTCATACTGTGGCTCCCCTTAATGACATAGATAACCAAGTGCATATGTTAGCTTAGCTCTCTATTCGCATGAGCTTCACGCAGTGGAATTGTAGGACTACTTTGTGACTATGATGATGCCTACAACTTGTTGGACGAATGCATTGCGAATGCCCATTACTCTGTGTCTTCAGGAAACTCAACTGAAAGAGAGTCAGTTGAACTTTCTCAAACACTTCCAGCTATTCCACAAAGATAGGCCGCACGCATCCCGTGAGTCTGGTGGTGTTGCTACAATAGTTCAAAGGTCAGCTCCTTGCGTTCAGGTTAGCTTGAACACTAACCTGGAAGCAATTATTGCAAGAATTGTAGCTGATCGTGCAATAACTATCTGTGCTTAATATATTGCTTTCAATTATTAATTCAAATTAAAAGAACTTGAAGCCGTCATTGCACACCTTCCTCAATCATTTCTTACCCTCGGCGACCTAAGTGCTCATTATCCTGTGTGGGGATGTAGTGAACGAGACATTCGGGAAGTAAAAATAGGATTCCTACTAACATGGAATTATGCTTGCTCAATAAAGGAGAACCCACCCACTACAACTTTTACCCGAATACGTTTACGTATATCTTCATCTTGCAAGAGCATATCCAAGTATTTTTTTTTTTTTTATCTTTTCCAATCGTGGGGTATACGGGATCCGTACGGAGGCGGAACGAAACGGACTCGTCACAGGCCCAGTCGCCACAGGCCGACTGCTCAAAGGAGTAACTGGTCCGGTAGACCAGCTCGTCACAAGGCATCTTGTACGAGGAATTCTTGTCATGCCGGAATACTCGTATTAGGACTTGATTTTAATATAAACGTGACGAGTGATTTCGGTTTCGTAATAGGGTTAGTCAGTATCTCGAACAGTGAGATCTACAATTTGAGTTGCGAGCAAAATAATTATAATGACACACATTCCCGGAAACCTTACATCGACTTAAAATAAAGCAGAAAATAAATAGACAGGCTCGTGATCATACATTAATTTATATGCTGAAAAACAACCACACGCGTAGAGCTTTGGCAAATAACTCTCGTCGTATGAGCCCTCGAGCAACAAGCGTCTTTTAAGCTGCTCGCTCGCCCCATTTGACTCTCATAGCACGCAAAACAACGTGGGTGTGTGTGCGTGCGTGTGTGTGTGTGCGCGTGCGTGCGTGTATGTGTGTATATACGTGTAATGAGGGTTCGTGCACGCGCGCGCGTTTGTTTGTGTGTGTGTTTTATAAATGATTATTGTATCAACAGTCTTCAGAACTGGCATGCCACATACTGAGGACGTTAAGCTTGACAATATGACATGATAAAAGGTAAAAGACGGAACTAAATCTGTCTTCATAAAACGTAGCAGATTCTACAACTGTCTCGGATTGATAAATGATATTAACGCGATAGCGTTTATCAGCTCGTGCCGCAGAAAATTCAGCATGAGTGTCGGCGTCGGTGGGCACCAAAAACTTTCCTAATGCAACGGGCGGAGCCGCGTGTGACGTCACACGTGGCTGTGACGTCATGACCCTATCGACCCGGTGAATTTGGCGGAAACATTTTTTGATAAATTTAGTGGAAAAGTTTCCTGCCAAAGTTAGCGGGAACTTTTTCCGCCAAGTTTAGCCCAGAAAATGTTTTCCCCAACTTTACCGGAAACTTTTCCCGCCAAATTTAGCGTATCTATAGGGTCATGACATCACAGCCGTGTGTGACGTCACGCGTTGCGTGACATCGACGTCACACGTGACGCTACCGACTAGGCCAGGCGCACACGCTTGCACGACTTGGGAACGATCTCGGGTTTCTATGAGAAGGCGAACGGGGCCCGAAAACGCTATCGCGTTCCACTCTTACTGGCAAGGGTAAAGCGTCCCCATGTTGTTGCTGTTTTTTTCTTAATATATCTCAGAGTGTGCTGACTGCGGAAACGATTTTTAATACCAAGAAATATCTGGCATCAAGTTAAATTTGATACGGAAGGTTGCTTTATTTTCCTTAGTGGAAAAAAGATACAGCACAAAAACTAGCTGAGGAAGCAAGTGGAAAAACGAGAAGTAAACCAAGGGCAGTATCACTTTCCTGCTTAAAAAAAAATCTGACCGTGTGTGCGTCTTTTTTTTTTTTTTTTTACTGTTGTCGTATTTGTACTTCAGTAGAGTGGTCTGCTGGGTTCTCAAAATAAGTATGGGTGCCACGAACAGGCACAATACTCACGGTATCATGAGAAGTTATTGCTTGCTTTGCACCATTCCTTATCGGAACATGCCTAATAAATGACAGAACTGCATCGTCTACTAGCCGTGTGCGAAATTTCTTTGTACAATGGCACGAATATTCCTGGTACGATACACCAGTGAAGTCCCGTACGTTCAGTGTACCTTAGCTTCAAACTTTTTTTCTGAGCGATGTCTTACCGCATATTTCCAAGTCGGGTCCAAATTTATTTGGTTAGTAAAAACATGGTACGATTAATACCGGGCGTTGTGTTTCTCCTGTGAGAACCAAGGTTGACTATGTTCCCACCAAAACAGATGACTTTGTGACCAGTATTCTGGTGATGAACGGACCCCCGTGCCGATCCCTAGCAGCACACTTCCCCGGCTCATACTTGGGCCAGTTGGCTCTTGCTCGCACAACTCTGGCGCAAACCTGGGCCGAGGATGTGTGCTATTTCGGGAGTATTCCCATGGCGAAATGACTTAGGTCCAGAACGCCGGTGCGACCAGTAGTTATGTGACAAGTTTTCCGGTAACGAGTAGGATTATTACGAGTGGGCTGGTTCTCACGGAGGCGACCACTTCCCAGTTGCCCTATAGCAGTGGTCTCAAACACGCGACCCGCCCGCCGCATGCTGCCCGCGTAGCTCCCTCAGTTCCAGCCTATGCACCCTTCCCCCCTCTCCACCTCTATCTTTCCTCAACTGTATCAATCTTTGAATGCTGCCTCTTTGACTATTTTAAGTGACGAGGTAAGTTTTATGAGGAAATCTTAGCGCGTACATATGACGATGGTGTTTGATGAGCAGGAAGAGTGTGGTTTTGTGCGTGTTTTAGTATCTTCGGTTCCCTTCTCGTTTATTTTATTTGCACATCTTGTAAATAATTATTCCGTTCACAAAACAGCGCCTTGTTCCCGTCGTCTTTTAGCGCTGTTTTACCTGCTCCGTGCTCCTGGAATGTTTCAATCAAAGCGCAAAAACAAAGTGTAAAACTATAAAATTATTAACCTTTGTTTTTTTCAGTGGCCGCCGGGTTGGTGATGTGCCTCGTGACTATGACCTTCCTGAAGCTGGTGTCCTACCACATGGTGAACTTCTGGTGCCGGCAGCAAAAAACTTCACGAAAGAACCACAAGCGATGCATTTCTTTGGAAGGAGAGAGTATGCGGCCCTCTTTACACTATACTAGTGTTAATAAGGAGCATCTTTATTTGCGAAGCAAGGTGCATTGGGTTACTCGCCACGCTAGGCAGAAGGGCAAGGGCCCCCGAAGGCGAGCGTCAGCTAGCCAGCCATCCAGAGCAAATGAATGAAGCTGTAGAAGCACCACAGGCCACAACCACACTGGTTGTAGAAAAGGGGGATCGGTGGCCGAGTGGTCTAGCGCACACCAGCTCGGAGCACGTGGAGCGAAAGTTCGCGCTGCAGAACCCAGAGATCCTGGGTTCGAGCCCCACCCCTGCCCGTTTCGATCTGGATGAGCATCCTACCGGCGTGCGGTCGTGTATCACTACTGCGTGGTGCACGTTAAAGACCCCAGGCTAGCGGCTGTACCGCACTGGCTAAATTTCTCATCTATGCAGCTGGGAGACTCGTCGCCTCTGTGAGGCAGACCAAGTTCTAGGCTGTATAAACACACACACAACCCAATTTTTTTTTTTTTTTTTTTGTAGAAAACGCCAGACTCGCTGTGCTTCTCAACCACAACCAAAGTTCCGCTGCGCCGAGATAGGTGAGCGCGCCAGCTCATGCTAGCGCGTGACCACGGGAGCCCCGAGAATAAAGGCACAGTGTAATAGACAGCCAGATGGCGCCCTCTGCGCACCTGGTACATAAACAGCATGTCGCACGAAATTAAAATAGATTACCACTGGGTAAGCTTGCGTGCACTCGTCAATGCCCCGCTGTCCCGAGGACTCGCTGATCCTTACAGTGGCGACGAGGAAGTGAAAGTGTTGAACTGCTGCCGTCCGACCGTGCGCCTGTTCTGGAATGCCGGTGGTCGGCAAATTAGGGCCGTTTGACGCTGAAACGAACTGGAGCGAGTACCGGGAGCGGGTTGAACAGTATACTTCATCGCCAACGATGTCAAGGATGAGAAAAGACGGGCCGTTTTACTTACGTGTTTTAGGACCGGCCACACAGTCGTTGCTTCGAGATCTGCTGGCTCCTGTCAAACCGTCGGAGACCAGCCTAGAAACCATTTTCGAGGTGCTAGGCGAGCATTTCTCACCGAAGCCGTCGGAAATCGTCGCAAGTTTTAAGTTCAATTCACAGATGCGTCATGCCGGTGAAACAGCGGTGGATTTCTTTGCTTGTCTGAACAAGCTCGCGGACGACTGCGGATTCGCCGCGTTCCGAAATAGAATGCTGCGAGACCGCATCGTCGGACGTATTAACGACGAGATGATACAAAGGCGACTCCTAGAGATTCCAGATTTGACCCTCGACCTTACAAAAAAGACGGTCGTTGCAATGGAAGCAGCGAAGAAAGATTCGCAGATGCTATCGACGTCTATCCAGCCAAACCTCGCGTCAGCTAACGCCGTGTCACGCGATGCAGCTGTGAACCCGAAGCGGAAGACTGGCACCATTTCGTGTTTTCGTTGCGGAGGCGAGCATTACGCCACACAGTGCCGTCATGCAAGTGCCACTTGCCAAAACTGTCGGGGCAAGGGACATCTGGCACGAGTGTGCAAGGGGAATGTCACGATCTTTCTGGAACGTGGACGAAGGGGGCCGAAGCACCCGCCGAGAAGAGACGACACGCAGCCTGGTTGTGAGGGTGGACGATGACTGACCGGAGCAGTGTGTGCTCGACGGCGTTTATTGGGGAGGTGAACAATGTTGCCCGCCGAGCCAGGCGGCCGCAGGCGGGCGGACTGGAGGGGGGCGCCACTAACTTGTCACACTCCTCCCCCCCAGTTTGTTTGTTATTAAACAAAACTAAACACAATGCGCACGGCCGACACCATCTCGGCGTCTGGTCGTGCAAAGTCCCGGCCTGTCGACGATGAAGGTCACCCCGGCGAGTAGCGGTCAGGTGGCCTCCGCTGCCGTGCACTCCGCCTGGGTACAGGTGTCGACGGGCCAGGTGTGGCAACGCCGGGCGCTGCCTGAACCGGTCGCGCTCCACCCGGTGGAGCTGCAGGGACCGGATTTGTGAGTGGCACTGGTGCCACAGGAGTGGCGACGCGTGTCGCCTCCGGGGTGGGTGGTGCTCCGCTGGCCGCGACTGGTGCTGTTGGGCCCCCTGCAGGCTGGTCCTCTGAAGCGACGACCGAGGGTGGAAGCCAGGTCCCGAGGCGAGGCCTGACATGGTCGGCGTGCCGGTGCCAGGTGGTCCCGTCGGGCATGCGGACGAGCAGCGATGAGGCGCTCGCTGGTGAAACCACATGTCCGGCAGACCAGGGTGGGCCAGGACGGAAGTTCCTGGCGTACACCGACGCTCCCGGCTCCGGCAAAGGCCCGGGACGGCACCCTCGGTCAGCAGCCAGCTTCTGCTTCAGCTGCTTCAGGAGCGCCGTAGACCGGAGGTCTGGATGCAAGACGTCCAGGGGGGTCTTGACCATCCGGCCCAGCAGAAGCTCGCAGGGGGCACGGCCAGTGACCTCATGCGGTGTGGTCCGGTACTGGAACAGTACCCGAGCCACCTGCGTTCGGAAATCCCCGGGCTGGCTCCTCTTCAGCTTGTTCTTGAGGGTCTGTACCACCCGCTCTGCTGCACCATTGGAAGCGGGGTGGTACGGCGGAACCAGCATCCGGCGGATCCCATTCCTCTGCAGCCAGTCCAGGTACTCGGCGCTGGCGAAAGCGGGACCATTATCAGACACGATAATGTCCGGCAATCCCTGCGCCGCGAAGACCTGCCGCAGAGCCGCAATGGTCGCGCTTGCCGAGGGACTGGTGACTGGCAGTGCCTCCACCCACTTGGAGAAGGCGTCCACTACCACCAGGAAGTAGTGGCCCTTGAAGGGTCCCGCATAGTCCACATGCAAGCGGGACCACGGCCTCTGTGGGAACGGCCAGGGGGTGATTTCCACGTGGCGCGAGGCTCGCTGGTTCTCCTGGCAGACTTGGCAGCCTTGCACCTGGTGCACGATGTCCTGGTCCAAGCCAGGCCACCAAACGTGCGACCGTGCCACCATTTTGGTCTTTTCTATGCCAGGATGCCCCGCGTGCAGCAGCTGCAGCACCTTGGCCCGCAGACTTTGTGGAATCACCACCCTGGAACCCCACAGGAGGCAGCCTTGCTCCAAGCTCAGCTCGGCGGTCTTGTGGCTGAACGCCTGGTGACGCAGCTCCTCCCCTCGGGAAACCGCCTTGACCACCTGAGACAGGACCGGGTCCCGGCTGGTCGCCTGCGCCACCGCAGTCCTGGTCAGCACCCCCGGGTAGGCCCGCTCCAGCAGGAAAACGTCAGCTGGCTCTGGAACGGCAGCAGGCACCTCCGGCAGGGGCAGGCGGCTCAGGGCGTCAGCAGGTCCCAGGTCCTTCCCAGGGCGGTACACCAGCTTGTACCTGTAGGCTGCCAGCGTCAAGGCCCAGCGTACCACACGAGGCGATGCTTGCACTGGGACTGCCTTGTCAGGTCCCAGCAGCCCCAGCAGCGGCTTGTGGTCAGTGACTGCCTCGAACTGCCGGCCCCACAGGTACTGATGGAAGCGCTGGACCCCGAAGATGAGGGCCAAGCCTTCCTTGTCGAGCTGGCTGTAGCGTTGCTCCGCCGCATGTAGTCGACGAGAAGCAAACGCCACAGGGCGTTCCTGACCATCCTGACCCCGGTGCGACAGGACGGCTCCTACCCCGTACGGCGACGCATCCACGGTGAGGACTACAGGCTTGGCCGGATCGAAGTGCGCCAGCACTGGAGCCTTAACAACGAGCTCCTTGCTGCGCTGGAAGGCCAAGTCCTGCTCCTTCTTCCAGGCCCACTGCTGCCCGTCACGAAGCAGGCGATGCAGCGGCTCCAGATGCGTCGACAGGTTGGGCAGGAACCTCCTGTAGAAGTTGATGAGGCCGAGGTAGCTCTGAAGCTCCTTCTTGCTCTTGGGCTTCGGCGCCTTGAGCACGGCCTCAATCTTGCGAGGTGCCGGGGCCAGGCCAGCCTGGGAGATGATGTGTCCCAGGTACTCCACGCTGGGGGTCAGGAACATGCACTTGTCCAGCCTCAGCTTGAGACCGGCGTCCTGTAGTAGTGTCAGGACTTTGCGCAGGTTCTGCAGGTGGTCCCCGTCGTCGGTACCGGTAACCAGGATGTCGTCCAAGTACACCGCCACGTGCCTCATGCCCCTGAAGAGGTTGTCCATCTCTCTCTGGAAGATGGCTGGGGCTGAGGTCACGCCGAACGGTAGGCGCGTGTACTGGAAGAGTCCCATGGTTGTCGAAATGGTGACATACTTCCGGGCGGCATCCTGGAGCACCAGCTGCTGGTAGGCATCTCGAAGGTCGAGCTTGGAGAACTTCTGTCCCCCGGACAGAGCCGACCAGAGATCTTCTACCCGAGGCAGCGGGTACTTTTCGACGGTAGCGACGGGGTTGATGGTGACCTTGAAGTCCCCGCTGATCCTGACGCGGCCGTCTCGCTTGAGGACTGGAACGATTGGTGCAGCCCACTCGGAAGTCTTGACGGGCACCAGGATACCCTCTCGCTGCAGCCGTTGCAGCTCCTGGGTGACCCCGTCCTTCAGGCCAAACGGCAGCGGACGCGGCTTGAAGAATCGAGGCCGGGTTCCCTCGGGTATGTGGATGCCGACCGTCGTGCCGGCGAAGGTGCCCACCCCCGGCTGGAACAGGGACTGGAAGTCGGTCAGGAGGCTCGGGACGTCTTGCACCACGCGCAGCGCAGCTTCTTGGTACTCCGGCAGCCGAACACCCAGCGAGTGAATCCAGTTTCGGCCCAGCAGCGTCGGCGACGACCCCTTGGTTAAGTAAAGGGGAAGGATTGCCTCCCTGTCGCCAAGGCGAACGCTGACTTGGGCCCGACCCTGGACCTGGGAAAGCTGCCCGGAGTAGCTGCGCAGCATGACGTCTGACGCCTCGATGGACACGCCGGGGAAGGTCCGCTTGAACAGCTTCCCGGGCATGACCGACACGCTGGCCCCTGTGTCCAGCTCCATGGTGATGGGGTGACCGCAGATTTCGACTGACACCAAGTAAGG